AGGGTACTACTTTGAGAGTTCTACTTTATGCACAGGTTTATTTTTAAAAAGAGGGAAAAAAAAAGTGTTTAAACATGTCTCTGTGATGGGTGGATGTTTGTAGACAAGTTCTCTCCGAAATATATTTGACTTAGTCTCTGTAGGATGCCTTCAAAAAACAGAGGGAGACTTTTTGTGCTCTGGAAAAAACAATTTTGAGATCAAAGCTAATATCAAATTTTTAACAAAACCCAAGCTGACTTTTTCTCAAATCACTGAAATTTTATAACGAGGGGGGAATATTGCCCCACATAAAACAACAGTTTGTTAGATGGATCAAGCATTTTAAGGACAATTGGAAAGACCTCAAAGGTGAGTTTTAAGGCAGAGAGGTCAGCTTAGAAAGTTAGTGTGAATATATTTTAGGATTCCAGACAGGTAATCCTGATAGATTTTCTCAAAGGTCACAGATTGATCTCAGGGACTTATTAGAAAAACATTTTAAGAAAACGGAAACTACAATGGTGAGAAAAAGACCAGGAAAATTACACCAAGGAATTTTTTCTCTATCACAACAATGCACCTACCTGCTCATTCTTCAAGGGTAGAAATAGCTGTCCTATAAGAATTTCTTAAAAAGCTATACCTCATCCACTCTACAGTCCCAAGTGGTATCTTTTGGTTCCCCAAACTCAAAGAACATTTAAAATGAACATGATTTGAGTTTCTCGAGGATGCCAAAAGTGCTATTTTGATATGGTCAGTAGAAATATGTATATATGAAGATAAGTCAAAAAGCATCGCAAAAATTAAACAAAAATATCAAAATGTGAAACTTCTGTTTCTGAACATATCCTCAGCTTCAGTTTATACATTCGGAAGGTGGTGTTTCCATCTCTCCATAACCGTTCTCTGGAGTGACACTGTAGGATAACGCACTGAACCACAAGGTCTGCTTGAACTGTAATATCATTGGTTCAGACCCACCAGCCACTCCTCAAAAACCCTACATAGGGTCACTATGATTCAAAACAGACTCGACAGCATTTAGCAACAACAATGTGCTTTTCTATCTACACCATGGCAAAACAGCAATTTTGGCATCCTTGCGGGACTCAAATTGAGTTTCTTGAGTGATAGTTTACATGGGAGAACATCATTTTATACTCATCATCTCATTGCAATGATTACAGTAAAATTGAGTTCCTTTGTAATGCTTTTTTGAGTTTGGGGAACAAAACTTAAGTCTGAAGGAGCAAGATCAGGGATGTAAGATGGACAGAAAGGTTTCCCAAAGAAATTCTCCAACAACCCTTGCTACTATCAAAGAATGAACCAGATACATTGATGTCAAGGATACAGATTCCTCAGGCCACTTTCTTGGTCTTTTTTTCTCAAATGAAGTTTTCAGTTTTCTTAAAGCTTCTTCATAATAGGTCCCTATAGTCATCATATGTACTTTGAGGAACTCTATTAAGATTACCCCTTTGAAGTCCCTACAGAAACATCATCATAACCTTCTGAGTTGACCTCTCTGCTTTAAATTGAACTGGTCCAGCAGATGCCCCCATGAGCCACTGTTTTGATTAGATATTTTTTGAAGACAGCCTAATGAGATAAATGTATTGTTGAGAGAACTTGTCTGCAATCATCCACTGATTAAAGATGTTATGTTTGGAATAAACCTTTATATGTATGAATTAGAACCCTAGTTGTTGTTGTTGACTGCCATCAACAACAGTTCTGACTCATAGCAACCCTGTATAGGGTTTCTGATGAGTAGCTAGTGTATTTGAACCGCCAACCTTGTGGATAATCGTGCAGTGCTTATCCTAAAGCACCATACCAGCATTCCATATATATGGATATATATCATATATGGAGTTCTAGTATGACACTGGAAGATAAGCACTGGACTGCTAACCCCAAGGTTGATGATTCAAACCCACCAGCCGCTCCTTAGAAATCCTATAAAGGTCACTATGAGTTGGAACCAAGACAAAAGTACTTAAGAACAACAACAATACAATATATCCATATCTATGCACATGCTGACAATGTACTAAACAAAAGGAAATGATATATTGTAACATTTTTAGCCCATTTTTATTCCCTTGTCTCATTTCATATATGATTAAATAACAGTTCTGTTGTTCTGAAGCGTTATCATTAGTCTGTTTGCTAAGAACATTTGTCCAGTCAAACTCACCTGTAAACTAGAGGTGGGCTTTCTTTTCAAAGTAAGAACAAAGTTAATGAGAACAATAATAAAAAGTAGAAATGAAGAATGTGTAGATATACAAATATATGTGTTGCCATTGAGTGAATTCTGACACACATAGTGTGACAGACTCCCAAGTGTGTCATAGTAGAACTGTGCTCACAGAGTTTTTAATGGCTAATCTGTCCTCTAAGGCATTTGTAGATGCATTTGAATCGTTCACCTTTCTGTTAGCAGCTGAATATTTAATCATTTGCACCACTCAGGGGCTACTTACCCATTTGCTGAGAAAATGGGTATCCCTACACACAAGTATTGCTACAAAGCACTGCTCAGCAGTCATGTATGACCTCCTTTGCAGACTGAGGCTTTTGGGTGGAAGAAGCAATGTAAAGACAAAGTCTTAGAAGTAAAACTGTGTCCGAAGTCGTCTTATCTCTTTCATGAAAGAAATTGTCAACACCAATATGGTGCTGGTATAAAAATGATGTTTGGACAGTATCTGACGGTCTCTAATTTCACAAGGTGGAAGGAGGATCAGAATCAAGAACTCAAGGCTGATTTCTATGAGTTGGAGGTCAGACATGTCTCCACCGTCCAATTTTTGTCTCAGCTTTGATACCAGTTGTCCCTCCACTAGAGTCCTGGTGTGGTGCTGTGGGCTAATGCGTCAGACTGCAAAGTCATTTGAACTGCAAGTTCGGTGGTTCAAGCTTATCAGCTGCTCCTTGGAAACCCTATACAGGGTCGCTATGGGTCGGAATCAATGCAATGGCACTTAACAACAACAGGTTACAATACAGGACCAGAAACCACTCAGGTTACAATTTTTCAATCAGGATAACCTTTTCTCAGCTATGCCAGAGCTACCCCTCTCTCTGGCCCTCAGCCTTTTATTCCATGACTTTGAAGCCTTTTCTCTGAGCAGGCAGGTATTACAAAGCTCTTTTAGCTTTGTAAGTGTCCAGAGGCGTCCCACTCTGACAGCAAGCCTTCTGCCCAAAGGCACTCAGCTCTCTTGCTCTGTGGGCCAAGAATCCCACCACTGTATCTCATGCCAGTCTCTTGGTTCTGCTGTCTCTTTTGCCTCTGTTGTCACCATTTCTCTGTAGTTACTTCCCACCATCTCTCACCATTTCCAGTGTCACAGCTCTCTGTCTCCTGGACCAAGAAGGTTCTCAACGCAGGAAACCCAGGCCTAAAGGATACACTCCATGCCTGGCTGTTTTTTCTTGGTTGTCGAGATTCCCCCTTCTCTGCCTGTGAGATACTTCATTTTAAGCCTAACAGGATGGGAGCATTGACAAATCACCTACTAGGGTTCCATACATATTGTTTATATTATTAGGAAGATATCCGATGCCCTGGGTGAGCTACATGTCCTTCACATGTACATAGACCTGTCCAGTCGTTTTGTGGGAGTTACAAAGACTAGAAGAGCTGTAATAAGCAAATTATTGTGGTGCTATGGGTTAAGGAGCTGAACTGCAAACTCACGTCAAACCGTAAGGTTGGTGGTTCAAACTCACCAGCTGGTCCTTGGAAACTGTAAACAGGGTTGCCATGTGTCGGAACTGATTGGACAGCATTTATCAACACTGTATCACTGCTGGGCACCATGACCTACAGTAATTGTTACACATTATTTTAATTTATATGTCTTTCATTATTATGATATGTTGTTGATAAGTGCTATTCAGTCAGTTTTGACTCATAGGGACCCCATATAGGGTTTCCAAGAAGTGGCTAGTGGATTTGAACCACCAACTTTGTGGTTAGCAGTCCAGTCCTGATCCTACAGCACTACACCAGGCAAATGATTATTATATACCAGATGTTTTCACTTTGTGAGGTAGGGATTGTTACTCAATTCAGTAGAGAAAATGGAAGCGTGCAAACTAAGAAAATTCCAAAAGACTATATGGCTTCTTTACTGGCAAAGCCCAAATTTGAATTCATGTGTCCTGGCACTAAATCTGTTGGTCATTCCTGTGTCCACCCAACTGACCATGTAAATGTCACCATGACTGAAAAGTAACATAAGAGTTCTTGAGAGACCAGGACATTTTTCAGTTGGGAAAGTGTAATCCTAAAATATACCAAGTAATATTATATAAATTCTAGAGCAAAGTTTGAGGACTAAGGTATATCTGACCCAAGCCATGGTATTTGCA